TTACCCGAAATTGCTCGTTTTTTGAAAATATTGTTCTTGACCTATTTTAAATATATGATTTTTAAAACAGATTTTATTTAAGACAAAATTATCTTTATTAAATATTGTACTTTCGCAAAGCATTTTTTTTTATTTTAAAAAATTTCTCCGGAAATGGGAGGCCAACAATTATTTTACCGTCATTTGATGCATTTAAAGAAAAAAAACGGAGGTGTTTTTGAGAAACTACTTGTTATAATTTGCTTATTTTTCGCGCAAAATTACTAGAAAACTGCACACATTTTCAAGATATTTTATATGGCCTCATTTCAAGATGTCTTTGAACAAAAGATTTCATTCGAAAAACAAAAAAACATACACAATATTGTAGTTGTAGAAAATCGCCGAAAAAATAAAACTTTTGCAATTTTCGAAAAATCGGTGATTTAATTAAAAATGAGTTTGGTGCCATTTTTTAAGCGTTCTTTAAGCTATTCAAGAACAAATTTTAATAAAGAAATTGGAGCCATTTTTGAGAACACTGAAAATGTTGTGGCACCATGTTAACTACCCTCAAAAATTAAAATATGTTTCAAACTCGCAGAGCATTGAGTAATCAGAAGGATTAAGAAATACCAATTTTGGAGAAAATATTTTGAACGGGTTAGGCGTCAGCGTTGACTATACAGAGACGGACGGCAGGCAGGCAGATAGACGGACTGACAGACATTTGCCGTCAATAGATTTTTCGCTATCAATGATTCACAAACAAAACATGGATTCTGACTACACAACGTGTTGGAGATAGTGATATAAAAGTACAGAAACAAGATTTACACACTTTTACGTTATCAGGGCCCGACAATAAGAGTTTTTCAGTCAAAAATCGCCGATATCCGGCGCACAACTGCAATTAATTCTCTTCTTACAAAGTTAATCAAGAAAGTAAAAAATGAACATTTAAATTATTTTCCCCAAAATGTTCATGTCTTCATTGGTTTCAATCAAAAGCTTCTATTTATTTTCTCCTTGCTTATGTCTGGTTTTCCAAGCTGCCTTCCCGAGAAGTTCATTTGCCTTACCTTCGCCTGTTCTTTCTTGCCTGCCGCCCTGGCGCCCCGTCCCGTCCCGTCCTGTCCTATTTAAACGTCGCTCCTTTCCACGCCTGGGAGCATTACCCCTCCCCTTCTTGCGTCGCTACTTTCTTCCAATATCTGCGCGTCTCGCTCCATTTCATAATGCTTCTTCCTTGCTCTTCTCATCCTCCGGCCCAAATTCGATTTCCTCGCGACAGCAGTGCTAGCTGTTGTCCCGTCGTTGCTCTCCGCAAATGGTTGCAGAAAGGCCCCGCTCGTGGACCTCTGTGAAACTTTTCGCGTCGAAACGAAGAATCAATACTGCCTGTTGCATATTCAAATCTTAGCCGATTAGCCCATAAGTGACGTTAATTTGGTGTTGCAACTAGGAAAATGCTCCGTATAATTTTTTTTTAGTATTAGTAAGACGCAAACAATGCCAGCTACTTTAACAAAACGCTGAGTAGTGTTTAACGATTACGAAAAATATAGTGATGTTTAGTGACATTCTTCGTGGAAATAGACGAGTCGTAATGAGAACCAATAAGTCCAGTTGTTATAGCCGTAATAAAGGATCGAATTAGTTAGAGATTCTTTTAGTTGAAATCGTTATAGAAAAAACATCTAGTCTTTAAAGTGGAGAAACTTTGTAGTCTTAAAAGGTTAGAAATTGCTTAAAAAAGTATGTAATATATATTGTATTTGACTGCTAACGAATTACATATTTTCAAATAATACGAAAAACTAAATGCAAATGAACCATACATTAGTTTTAATACTCTTAATAATTTGGCGCGTATTTTGTATAGTCTTTTTTCACGATGAATAATGACATTTATTTTTGTAATTCTTGCAATAGTGTTTATGCTGCGAAATTTGTAGTAAAGTCAATACATTAAACACGACTAATATTTCCTCATCGCTTGGATGTATAAAACTTGCTGATGGCTGCCATTGTTTGAATGAATATCGGATTTCAGTGGCGTAATTAGCCCGACATCAATATTTAGGATTTTAAAAATTAAATAAATAAATACTGCTATTGCAGTATTCTTCTTTTGCAAGTAAATTATGCTTTTCGTACAGTGTTTATTGAATTTTATATATATATATATATATATATATATATATATATGTAATTATTTATGTTTATTTAATTATAAATTAACAGACGTTTTATTAAAATTTACTGTTACAGTTTTCTTCTTATTCAAAAGCACAAACGAAATAACGAAAATTGTTGGACCTAGGAAGGGATAGCTTTGCACTTCAGATCCAGCTCTAAATTACACTCATTTCTCATGCCCGAAACGAAACGATAGTTACAATATGAAAACATGTACAGTTGAGATGAATAACAGCTACTGACTTTTGAAAACTAATATTTTTCAGGGTGATTTATTAGCATTTTAATACACTTACGTAATTTTTATTTGAGGGTTTGTAAACAAAAACATGGTTTTCGGTCGCTCGTGACCTAAGCTGTTTTATAGCGAATGTAAATAAAAAAAATAGAAACAAACAAACTGGTAGTTCACTTGAGACTCTATTTCCCCATAGTGCGATGCTATTTACAATGATAAACAAAACTAAAATTTTATTTTGTTTAAAACGTTGTTTTAAGAATTACTTGACATCATTCTCTGGAGAAACATCCCAAGGTCAAAAATATAGATGCACCGCAGATATCTCAGGCATTTTTCACAACTTTTCTCTTAATTTGAAAATTGTGGGTTACCAAGTTCTTGCTCACAACCCTTCACTTTATCAAAAATTAGAAATTTATGACGGACGCAGAAACTCATATGCAGACAATTCGCACATCTAGCACTTATATCGCTATTAACAATTTTAAGAGTAATTTCCGAAATGAATGCCAGAGTTGCTGGCATTTTTGTTACTAAAAGTACGAGAATACAATGCCGCGCAGCAATAAAAGCGTTAAATTCATTCTATTCTGTTTCAATTTTCCGGGTCATTCAGCAGTTTTATGCAATATGAAACAAAACAATTACACGAAAAATTTAATTCAACCTTCGATAATCCTACTTTTTCCTAAAACACAATATGAACATCAAATGTATAATTACTCATGTTCAAATTCATTTGTACAAACGGAAAAAATTCAATTGGATTCCGAACGCAAATACAAACGATTAACGCGGCCTGAGTGCGATTACCACTGAAGTACGTAGTAATTAGGGCAAATAGATTTTAAATTAAGTCAAAATGTGTACCAATGCATACACTGTACAGTGCTATACAAACGTTTGTAACTTCATAAACAAATTGCCTGTAACTAACTTTGATGGAGTAAACATAAATATTATAAGAAAATTCGGCAAAGAGCGCTTCTGAACATGTTATTGTGGTCATTGTTGTGAGAAGTCATTACTTCGTACACCTGGGAAAGTCTAAAAGCAATAATTAACTAAAAGTAAATACCATGAAAATCGGTCCCATAGATCGCAACGTCGAGTAAAGCATCTGTGTGCGTGTGCGTAGGTGAAGGAGGACTGGAAGTACGTGGCGATGGTGCTGGACCGGCTGTTTCCTTGGATCTTCACGCTGCGGATGCTGGTGGGCACGGCGGGCATCATCCTCATGCGCCCACGGTCTACGACGACCGAGTGCCCATCGACAAGAAGTTCAGCGAGCTGGCACTACGGCGCTGTGCGGTTCCCTCCGCCGTGAAGCGCCGTCGCTCCTCCCACAGCTCCCTCCCCCGTCCCTCCCCGCCCCGAACCCACGACCCTCCTGGCCTCCGTCCGGCGCTGACGCCGCTGTTTGTTTTGTAGCTGAGCGAGTGACGGCCGCCACCCCCGCGCCTTCCGCCGGCCAGCCCCGCCCGCCCCCCGCGCGCGCCGCCGCCGCCGCGCAACGGTGAATGTGATGGTAGTCTATTTTACAGAGAGAAAGCTATAGAGAAGATTGATGGAGAGATATATACATATATTATATATACACATACTTAGTTGACAAGTACTGTACATAGAGAGAAGTTTCTACCGTTCACCACCGGACTTGGATGTTGGGGTGCCGCCGCAGGGGAGGAGAGTCCCTCTATCTCTCTCCCTCCCTCTCTGTCTCCGCCCGCTGTCACCCTTCCTCGCTCCCGGCCGCCCGCTCTCCCCGGCGCCGCCCCGCCCGCCCGCTTGTGGTGCCCGCCTCGGCCTAACCCAGTGTCGATTAACTCACAGTGTAAAAAGACTCTAAACCGACGGAATTGAACATGCCTCCTAAAACGGGCTCTCCCGGCCCACTAACCCGAAGAATAAAGCAGTTGCCACTGCATAACTCACATACCGGATGTCAAAAAATTATTAAAGAAATATATATCATAAATAAATATATTAAATTTTAATGCTGTTTCTTTTATGAAGAGATATAATCTCCTTTCCTGGAACTGCCCGCCCCGCCCAAGGCCCATCGCCCGCGCCCGTGCCCGCCGCCACGACGGGCGCTCGACTGAAATCTCGCTGCCATCATCGCTGCCGCGTCGCGGAATAAGTGCATTAAAACTGTGTACCACAGGTTCTCACAGGTGAACAGAAGACCCACAAACGAAACGCCTTAGCCTCATTGAGTCTTACTCTGGCAAATCAGTTAAAAGATACAGACATGTTGATAATACAGATTGTATATTATTGAAACATGTAAATAAAGTAATTTGTATAAATATGGCATTATTTTAACAAAACAACAATTCGATGGCTATGCTGTTCGGAGCATGAACCGACTATTGTTGTAATTGCCTTTTATAATAGTAGAATATTTCCAAACGGTTTGTTGCCTTTTTTAAGGAAGATACGTTGTTTTACTTTATGTTTAACATCAGAATAATAAAAAATAAGATATTTTTTAAAAGTAAAATTAACAATTTGACATTAGGTCGAATTTCGTAGTCAAAGAATTATTTAAACATCCCGCTAAGTAGAGTATCCTCCATGTTCTCTCCATTTGCTTCTCCGTTTCGCCACAGATGGCTCTCGCGTTTCAGTGCATGAAAATGGATGCCAATGTTGTTAATGGCGGATATGGCTGCCGGTAAATCATGCTGAACTGAAGAATTTCAGTCACCCAGATTTGATTTTCCATTATTTCGGTTTCTTTCGCCCTGCTGACTTGTAGAATTCTGTGGAGAGTTTCTGGTAGTATTAGCGATATTTTCTCTGTCAAATTTGTCAACCCGTTTTATGTTTTGCAAGAATGTCAATTTCTAGTTCTGATCTCAAACATGCTCTACGCAAAACCGACTTTCCGTTTTGTGCTCGCGAAGCTTTGACAAGAATCGGTAAGTTCCTAAACAATGTAATTGCTTATAAATTAAAGTGTTTTCAACAAAAAGCTTAGGTTATGTTCACTTTGCAAACAGAACAAATATACGCTCCAAATGCAATGGGAAGACCTCCAAGTAACAAGCAAATTGATCTTGCCGCGGAAGTAATGGCAGAATTTGTATTTTGCGAAGCAGACCGCAGAGGCAGTAGAAAACGAGTAAATATCCTTGGTTATGTTATGCCCCTTACTGAATGTATTTTTGTATGTCATGTTATTTTATAACTATTCATGGGTTTTCAGCGCCTTTCTTGTATTCAAGAACTTCAACTTTTGGAGGTGCTCTGTGATTATTTTACTTATTCGGGTGCTAGTAATGAACCTGCACGAAATGCTGTTTTTATGGCTCTTTTCCCTGCTTCTAATGCAGAACGATGTAGGTTACTTGCGAAATTAGTGTCAATGGCTATATCAACCAAGAATACACCAGTCCTAAATGCTACTGGTGTATGGATGCAGGTACCAATATTATATTTTGTTGTTTTTATACAAGTCAAGCTGAAGTGTCACCTTATATTGTTTTGATCTCAGGGTACCCACTATATTGTACAGTACAAAAAAAAAAAAATCAATGTAATATTTCACCTTTTAAATATTTGCCCATATAAATACATTAAAAATGATTTCTGTAGCATTTAGGCAGTGCAACACAGGGCAGCTTGGAATTGGCACAAGGGTTAGTAAAAGACTATTTTGTGCTAGTACCTCGTGCAGGTAGTGGATTGCAAGACTTACCACAACTGGCTCCCTATTTCACTTCCAGCCTTTTAACAGCTGTTGCAGAGATATACACTGGAGAGGGTTAGTGTTACATAGATTGTGCTCTATCTCATCTTATTTTGATATTTTATTATATTGATGTATATGACTATTGCTTTAGGTCCTACATCTGCCCCTCCTCAGCCACTTTTGGAAGTTGTAACGCAATGGGTGGCAGATCTTCCAACACTTTGCATAGCAGCTCTTCCTGCAGAGCCACTGCATAGGACTTCTCCCACTACTCCATACGCCGGTTTGTTTCGATGGTGTATTTTGGCACCATTGCATTTCCATCCATCCCCAGCAGTACTCCTGTATTCCCGTTTACATTTGGCATTACTGGAATCTTTGCTTGAGTGTCGACAATTGCAACCTGGACGATTGGAGGGTTCAGTTATGCCTCAGCAGTTGATGATGACAGCTAGATCCATGATCCGAAGCAATGGCTCAGCTGAAGCAATGCAGGATGCCATTGATCGTTTTGCACAGGCTTTGCAGCTTATATTGGATTCAAGACTGTTGGCTCAGTCTGGCCAATGTAAGTGTTTGTACTCTGAGATTGGATACAGAAATCAATGTGGTCATGTTCTGTTGATTTGTTTATTGCTGTGGTTGAGTCGATCATTGTAATCACTTAAACACAAACAGTAACAATTCCTATGAATTCATTTTATAATACCTTCATTAAGAAAACTGAGAATACAAATTTGTTTTTCTTAATTGTAGTACATTGAATATAAATGTAATTGTAAACTTTTTACAGAAGAGAGGAAAAGCACTTATTTCACTGTAAATATGAAATTGTTTTCCAAGAATAATAGTTTTCACAATTTTCATATTTCAAAAAGTTTATCAATATCTTCACATGCAGTACTTATGACTATATTCTTCACTCTTGTACATAATTAAATAATTGACACTATACATTTAGTGTGTCAATTCAATTTTTGAAAAGGTTTCAATAACTAATTGGTCCTTACGTTTCTTTACAGTGGATCTCTTTCAATTGTTGGATACCCTTCCACGTAACAGACTAATGGCTCTAGTTCTAAGGAAGCATCGAGGGCAGTCTTAGCAAATGTATGAATGTTCTGTTTGACACAGAAGCAATTGAGCTGAAATATAATTTATTTAAATATGAACTATAACAAAAATGACATGCCAGATTGGATGGGGCTGGTGGCACAATTCCACATATATAGTGAGTTTGTTAGTATGCCCCTTCAACAAGACCACGGCCTAAATGTGTCCATCGGTCTGGAACAGGCAGGAAGTATCGATGCATGGCATCGATAAAGCGATTTCGGTACACCTCTGGGGATACTACTGTGGGCAGGCGAGCCTGACCGCCGCCTAACTGACCATAATACTTCACCATGGCTTCAAGCTTTTTGTCCCAGGTGAAAGTGCGAATGTAGTCTATTATGCCTACTACAAGTTCATGTCGCTCCTGGTCGAGTCCAACAAGAAGAGAGTAATCCATTACAGCTTGTGCAGCAAGGAATTCTGTATCGCTGTGAATTGCTTGCATGAGCACAGCCTTTGAATGTGGGTACACATACAGTGGCGAGTCACACGTCACTGAAATAGAAAAAAGTCATTTTGAAGTTTTTGCCAACTGAAAACCATGTACAAATGTAATTATTAATAAAAAGTTTTATATGTAAAGACATTTTAAAAATTTTCTTTGCCTTCTCATTGTGGTCATACTTTCGTAAGGCAAGTAAGAAAAATGAAATTTATTTTCTCTCATACGAAAATTAAGTGATGAAAATTCAAAGAACTGATAGGAAATGTGTACGTTATTTACTATTTATGAACATATTTCACTCTTGTTCTAGCTTATACTCTTCTTTACACTACATTTTACTAAATGAATGGAAGTTCCAGAAGGTTTTGGTGAAATTAGAAGTGATAAGATTCCAAATCACATTCTAGGAAGAACAATGCCAATGATCAATTCTGTCAATTTTTGTTCAAATTATCCTCCTGTAATAAAGTGCGTTCACACTATGGACAAATGAAATTTATCAGTTTTTTGGGTATGGTTTGTAACTTGTAAATTTATCTCTTGTTGATTTGTTTCACAAATAAAGCAAAAAAATTAAATTTTTATCTGAAACTAGTGCATACCACCTAGGATAGTATTAACATCTCCTGAGCAACAATAAAAGTTAAATTTGAAGAATAAGATGTAAAAGAATTAGAATTATTCAGGTGAAGCTTAAAGGACAAATATGTAACATTTTCTGTCTAATCAAAACACATTATGTATCGATGAGAATTATGTAAAAAAACTGAAGTTTGATCAGTTTTCAGTTAAATATCCTCTTAAAAGGACCTAGTGAAAAACAAATTAGAAAGTGGAACATAAGGCTGCACACACAAAACTTACTCTTGAGCAAATTCTCGTCCAGCAAAACCAACTCCCCGGTTCCTGCTCTATGGTCAGGCAACGTTTCAGCAAGTCTATTTCGCATTGAGCCCTTGAGGTCAAACTTGTGAGTGACATGTCGACGGAAGAAAAGATTTTCCATTACAAGCAAGTTGGATGCCATTGTACTCCCTCCTGTGGCACGCACTTTAATGCGGAACACTCCTACAATCTTTCCAAGCAATGTGGGGCGTGAGGCAGCCAAAGAATTGTGTACATGTGCAAAGTAATGAGGTGCAAAGTCGAGGAACAGCTGCATTTCCAGGCGAGACATCTCCTTCAGCACAAAACGGTCATCTATGCATACAAAAAATGAGTGGTAAGTACAGACTTCATAGAAAATTTATTATGTATGACACACACAACAGAAGACATGTTCTCATATTAAATTTGACATTAGACTTGACTTAAAAGATGGAAAATAATAATGAAAGGTAATCGACACAGAAAAAGAAAGTTTGAGGAAATTAAAAAGGTGCTAGTATTAGCTCTCACAAATATTTAAAGTAACCTATCTAGAGTAAAAGACAATAATTTTGTTCAAGAACTGCAACAAATTAAAGTGCAAAGTTCTTAATGGTGATTTAAAAAAATAAAGGGATAATTTTTGAAAGAACTATGAAAAAAATTAATTATTTAAGAAGAAAAAAATTTAACATTCATATACGAACATTACAAAATAAAAACATTACTTTGAAGTTCACAAAGCTTCTTGCAATGTAGGATGGACATGCACTTGGAATGTTTTTTATCAATTTATATATTGTACATTTACAGCTTTCACAACAAGCAAAATGCTACAAAAATTAACCCTTGAACATTGGAAACTGGCTTATCTGTTTGGTTTCATTTATTGTTTTCTTTCCTTGGATGTTATGTCCTATAAAAAATTAGCAGTAAGCAGATAACACATCAAAACAAGTGAAACTTGCAACTACATGATTCTTTAAAACAATTTTCACACAGTTTTCAGGCAAGTTCTTCTGATTTAATATATCCCTTTCCAGATTAAATTATGTTAGGAATAAATAGAACTTTGCTCTAATAGGTTGGCCGAATCTGCCACTGCACTCCAGATCCACCGACAAAATCTTAACAAATCATTATTTTAAAAACCCACAATTTGTTTCACAATTTTCCATTAAATGTACAAAAATTACTATAATTATTTCCAATTAAATTTTTTGATAGTTTGAAATTGCATAAATAACTTTTGGTCTGTTTTCCCCCCTCTTATCTACCTACCTATTTGCAGAACACCATTGCATAATATTTATACCTAAATGTTTTTGACTTTATTTAGTCCCTGTGGAAAAGTTTAATGATTCATATTGATAATTTTTTTCCTTTTAAAACAAATTTATATTCAAGAAATGAGCAGTATTTCAGTTCACATTCCATTTATGTGCACATCTCGGTGGTGTCGATGCTTGGAGCAGCACCCAAGTACAGAGAAATGAAGGCTGTGGGTTTGCGTGTAAGGTAAGGATGCTTTCATTGTGAAGTTGTGGTATGATTCACTTCACAAAACACATTTATTCTGAACTGTCATTTCATCCACTCCTTAACCTCTACCGTCCTTCCAATATCCATCCAGTGAAAGGCAATGGGAAACCAACTCTGATCATCTGCCCCAGAAAGTAGAAATCATATTGGTACGAACTTCTACCCTTGCTTATCGTTGGCAACTGAATATGACATTGTTATCATCACACTGAAGTATTTGTAATGCATTAAAGCAAGGGAAAAAATATAACGATCTAAAATATTGTGGTTGTTATTAGTCTAGAATGAAATCACCAGCGACATTAAAAAAACAAAAACATTCCTTCTATGACCAGGAGTCTTTGAATTAAAGTTTTACTGAACTATCTCATCTACAAATGCCACATGAAAGTTTTAATTGTATCAGTATTGTGGTATTTTCAAAGAGATAAAAATTTGCATAAGAATTACTGCTCAAATTTTCTCAAGTACCACAGACCTCTATTATTAGTATGAAGATATGAAAACCGGTAAGTCTTTTGGAGCCAAAAGATATTAATAATACTTGCCATGTGCACTTGTCTCTTGCATTAAATATGAAAATCTGAGCCTGAAGTTGCAATTTTTATGAACTGCAATTGTGAATTTACTGATTGACAACCTGAGAAGAACAGTAGCTGTAATTTGCTTTTATGAACTGAAAATTGCTATTGTAGTCATGTAATCACTTTATAAATTAATAATATAATAAATAACTAATAAATTAATTAAATTGATAAGTACATAATAATATTATGCCACACTTGTAAGTAAAATAAAAAGGCACACAATTACATTAACACAATAACATTAACATTTTAATAAATATTTGTACACACACACACACATTGTCCATCTGAACTGGTTGATGTTTTGTATGAAATCAGTAGTTAGTTTGCCTCAATAAATAAATTTTACTTCATGTTAGTGAAAAATTTCTAGTTTTCAAATAGTGCTGACTTTTTTATGTCGAGACATTTGTTCATAATTCAACAATGGTTAGTAAAAGGGATAGAGGGATAGGGATTCTGGAAATTAAGAAAATGAATGGATTATACTCCTCACATGTCACACAGGTTTTACTAATTAAAAACCTGTCGTATCTCATTTTTATGTTAGTATAATTACTTGATGGCAATGGTCGTTCCCATTCTTTCATTATATTTTCACTGTGGTAAACTTTCACCAAACCAAGGAGCAACGAAAGCTCGTAAGTCATCTTGAGTGGAAAATGATGTAATAAAAAAGAAGGAAAAAAGGAAGGATTAAAGGAAAAGAAAGGGGAGAAGGAAAATAGAATGAGAGATGCTGAAAAAGTGAAATGCAGTGGAAAAGAAGAAAAGGAGTGGGGAGAGAAGTGAGAGTAGAAGATACAGTAGGCAAAAGGAGATTAAGGAGTATGAGAAAGAAAAAGAAAAGAGCGGGAGAAGCAAGAAAACACAGAAGAGAGTGCAGGAGAAAGAAGAAGAAGAAAAAAAAGAGCAAATTGGAGAAGGAAAAAAAGGAAGAGGGAACAAGGGAAGGGAGAAGGCAGGAAAGTACCTCTGGTCTTGCAGAAGCTGGAGCCCGACTTGCCGCCGCGCGCCGCCCACTGCACGCAGCGCGCCAGCGAGCGCACGAAGGCCTCCTCGCCCGCGGGCAGCACGGCCGCGCGCAGCGACAGGAACTGCGCGGCGAAGTACACGCGGCAGAAGAAGACGGCGCCGCCGTCCGCGAACTGCACCTCCACGTGGTGCTGCGCCGCGCCGCCGGCCCCTCGACCGCCGCCGCGCGACCCCTGCGCCGTTTCACTCCAGTCAGTCACAAGCTATTCAATTTTGCCTCATTTTATATAAGTCATAAGTCGTAGTCAATTGGTAAGTAACAGGTCAATATAATAAATAAAATAAAACTGGCATAGTAATAAGCACATTAGGGGGGGGATCGAAAATATAAGGGCAGAGGCGTTGGTGCGGACGATCTTCTGTGGCGCTGTTTGTTTTCAGGTGCTGAGGAGGCCAAGCACTGGAAGGAGACGGCGGGACGCCCGCGCCAGAAAATAAATAGTTAAAATAAACGTAGGATAGATTAGTATGTACTCGGCTTCTGACGGCAGGTTTTTCCCCTTCAGGGGTTTATTCCTGAGCCGTACCTTATGGCCTCTTTTCCGCGGCTTTGATGCGATGGAGAGACCATTTGGGGTGAATACCAGAATTCGAAAGATTAGAACGCGAAAGGATGTAGGTATTGTAACGGCTTAAAGGCCTTCGGCCTAGCCACATAGGAGCAAGTAATCTAATTTGTGTGTAATAATTACCTATTAAATAAAATAAAAAACTTGCATTATTTTATGCGACGAGACTCAGGCTATCAGACCTGCTCTTCCGCCTGACCACGGAAATGTCCACCACGCTCCTTTCACCATCCACTAGAGAAGAAAGGTTTCACTTGGGAGACGAAACCGGCTATTAACATTTAGCTTAGAGGCTTCTTTTAGGCCTTAACATTGTTTACATGCAGTAAATCTACAAAGTGGGATCGTCGGCTTTACTTTCCTTCCGAAGGAAAGCATACGAAGCATGGGTCTCATCACACCCGAAGCAGTATTTCTATTGTCAATTTATTCCTTTTATTACGTTTCCCATAAACATAAATAAATAAATCAAAACTATTTATGGGGTTCTGGATCCGCAACTGTTGAGGATTTAACGCACGATGCGAATGAGTAATTTTCTGCACGAGAGAATATTGAAACATTAAAAAAAGCAAATGAAATGAAACCAGCGTTTCCGTCTTTTTTTAACCAATTGTGGATATGAATAATAATATACTCTCATGTTGCATCTGACTGTTACAGTGCAAATTTGTCCAATGTAACATGTCGGTACATTTTTTTATCTCGTAATGTCTGGTAAATAACGATTTCCATATTTTCAGTTCAAACCAAGAAAATTGGAGAAGAATTCATTTCAAGGCGTGGAAATCATAAACGAGACTCCTCACGTGAATTAGTTGTATCCCCGGCCAGGTGAAAGAAATATTTATCCAAAAGAGGGAATCAAACACACTAGGAGGAGACTAAACTCGGCATCGCCCATCGATCTGAACACAGAAGAAAAAGGACGAGGCTCAGTCACAAAATAGATATGTTATCTGTGTCGTGAGGACATAAACATGTGCGGAACTGTCGGATCATACTTTTCTGAGATATGGAGGCAAAGGAATTATATTGTACAAGAAGTGTGAACGTAACCTGCAAGATATCGACTGGCAAGACATCAAAGTGCAACCACGGATGCGATAAACTACTTTTCTCAATGTTGTATTATAAAATAATTAAATAAATAAGACGAGGCAATAATTTGGACGTGCCAAATACTAGGTTTGTGGAAAACGAGCAAAAGGCCTAACGAAAACGGGCTCGAGGTACATCCACGACTATCTCTTGGAATTTATGGATCCATTAGTTGGCCCAAGTGGACGTTCCGCACACTGCAAATCACTGTTTTGAAAGTGAAAATTGCTTTGAACTGGAACCCAACTCAAACGGTGATGCCTTGCACTGAGCATTACCACATAATCGCATTCATATTTTTTGCACTGTATAATTTACGAATGCTGAATATGCCTGTAACAATAGTAGAAATCTTTTGCTTTAATGACCACATTTTCGATCATTTTTACTTTTCATTAATTGTACTTAGTGCATAGGATTCTATCAAAAAAATTCGGTTTGATTAAACACATTTTGATAGTCCGCGAAAATATGAAATATTTTCGATAAACATAACTTGTGTCTGTAACGAAGGATCTGTACCTGCGTGATGCGTAACTCGAGCTTAATAAAGATTTTGAACTCTTAATTTGTTACATACTAGACGTCAGAAGTAAACACTTTTATTACTGTTCCAAAGACCTTAATAAAATGGGTGCCGGGGAGGGGGAGTGCTGATTGATCCTGTTAGCGCATCTTTTAAATAAAAACTCAGCAAAAATTATAAAAATTGCCTCTGCAATCTATAGTACGGGAGCTGGGATAATGGGATAAGGCGTTGTGCCTTCCGACCGCAGTCCCCCCCCTCACACATTTTCTGGCTCAAAGAATTGCATGGGAAAATAAATTCTAGGTTTTAAGTGAAAAGAGCTAAATCGTAAAATTCTATTATCTAACTTACTAGCGGGTGGGGGCAGTGGAAATGACCTTATGGCAGAAACAAAACCGACAACTTTCTTCGGCGTATCAAATATACGAAGTATTGTTACAAACGCGAGCCCAAAATCGGAATTTTTACATGAAATAGCAAGAGGCGACTGCGTGTCGAATGATGGGTCTGACTGGTCGAGCGTGGGCGCGGCCAGGGAGGTAAGGGTTTATTACCCACGAACACTGCGTGCTGGCTTGGGCGCAATATGCGCAAATCTGTGGTTCGAATGTGTTCTCTTTTTTGCAACACACTACTGTTAAAATTATGATTTGACCCATGCCACGGAAAGTGTAAAAGCGCGCCTTCCAGGAAATCAAATTCAGAGGGATCGAAATGAACCGACTGATCTTACAATAGTATTGGTATACGCTGGTTTCATACTATGACATACGAGTTAACTACCTCGCAAATGAGAACCTGAGACGGACCAGGGAGACGTTGGTTGTGCAAGGGGAACTGAGGTTTGCAATGTGTTGGCGTAGAAATCCTCTGGATAGAGGATTCGTAGAATAATATTGGTTTCGGTAGCTAAAAGAACCTTCTGAAATTTATTGGACTGCCGTCATAGCCTCTTCTAGTTGAGGGCTAAAGGGGCCTAAGGCTAGGTACATAGATTCATTTAAAATTATATGCAGAAAAATCGTGTTTTTTGCACTTCTCATGAAACGCAACCTTTTGGAAACTGAACGCATTCATTATTAAACTACTTTACTGAGCCATTTAAACAAAAACGAAAATGTGTGACTTATGTCAGAGGTGCTAAGAATATCCAATAGTTGTTACAGCTGGCTGAAGAGTGGTCAGCAAATCTAGTTCTTTTATTGCTGGTGTTCATGACCGGTTGATCGCCACAATTAAATTCACTAGCTCCCAAATGCTATTTTTATTGGCCAATTCACAATGTCACAAACACCAGCGTAAGGGCTACCTTAACTCGTGTTGCACGCCATTACCAACCTGTAATATGTTGAAAGAAGTTGCGCAAACGCTGAACGCCCCCCCCCCCCCAAGGAGCTTGGAGACGCGTTGCGTCTAAGCAAACACAACAGTTTCTTTTTTTTTTTAAAAAAAAAGCTACCACAAACGAGCGGTGTTGTGAAACGCAAAGGTACGGGGGAAAACCTTACAGGACATTACACAACATTACAACAAAACATTACACAACATTACAAACACCCTCTTCGCAAAGAAAGTGCCAGAAAAGTAAATTTATGAGCAAATCATTCATGTGATGACTATTCATATTTGGACGAATGTGTATGTATCTTTAATTCTTTTTATCGGAAAACAAATGTTACAAGAGATTTTTGTTAAAATATTTCGAGATGATTTCAATGAAGTTGTAGAAGTTTTTAACTCTTATAAACTCTTGTACATAAACGAGACACTAACACACTCGTAAGCTCAAATTTAATGTCAAATTTCAGAAACATTACCCTCTCAGTTCAAATTTCACTGAATTGACTACACTGACTTTGTAGTTTGAATCTAGTAATAATTTTATTTGCATCGAACTTTTGTTTAGGATTTTATACCGTTGTTCCTCAAAATCACGTCTTCGAAACATTCGCCCTGGTCCAGTAGATATCCAGGCTCCAAATTTCTGTTTCTGCAGGGACTTGAGGACTCCAAGTACTCAACGGGGAAGGACTGGAGAGGCCTAAAGTACGGAATCAATCGCGTAGAGCTTAACAGAAGGGGCTCTGAAGGCTCTACAAGCTCTACGGACGACTGGGAGGAGAATGTCTACGGACACGGGGAAACTGCTGAGATTGTACAGTTTGGAGATCATTAACCATTCCTCCGAGAAACAACAAATTTAAGCAAAAAGGATTTTTGTTCGATATACTGAAGAGAAAAAAAGGAAATAAAGTTTACGATAGACTACATGCATAAAATCTGAGAGAAGATGCAGTTTTTCATATCAGACTCAAATCAGATCTCGGACGAAAAGCATGAAAACGGCTCATACAAGACAAGGAGAACATGCACAGTTTCTTCAAGATACTGAAGAAATGGCGAAGAATCCAAAGAAAGCAGCTCTAAAAACTGTTACAGGCGCAGAGTGACGACTCAGGCGCCGTGGCCTATAAAAAGTTCTAGAAGAAAGAAAAAAATCTTGATCTCGACAAAATGCTTACCCAAAGAACTAAAATAAAAATGCTAGGCAAATAAAAAATCTACATCTGATTTAATAATGTTATCGCCATCCTCTCCATATGATTTTGGATATGTTAATGGTGAAATCTAAATTCAAAATGGGTCCATTTATAATAATGAAACTGAACGTCTCCTTTTTTGCAAATTTATCACATGCATAAAGCAGACTTACAAATTCATAATGAAAAATATTTTAAAAAAACAACTTAGAATTTACAAGTACTAAAATAAAATACCTAACTTTGTGGTATTAAAACTCTCTGTCATTTGTTTTTCTTTCAAAAATCGTTGGGTGTTTATGCCATATTGATTTAAAGAATTAATACCTATGATGACATACTGACAAACGAAACAATTACACTCCCAATAACATAATAGTATGAAAACGATCATACCAATTTGTTACATGGAGATAATATTAAAGTTCGTACGCTTCATTTTATTTAGAGCGATTTGAATACAAATATTTGCAAAGTGAGGCAAAACGACAAGCCACAGATATTAATCACAGACAGAAGGGGAAAGGGAACTGTGGTAAAACCTTGCAAGTAAGACGATAAGATACCTTGAATTAGACTTTCATCTGGCGGTAAATCACAAGAAGCCACGTAATCAGTACGATTCTATCCTGAACAATTTTTGATGCTAGAAAATGCTTACAAAAAAGAAACTGACACAATTACGTTTATCCATTTAATAGTGATGATACTTAAATTAGTAATCGTATAAAGAACAGCCACTGAGGTGGACAACATTCAATAATGTGATAACTCAATGAGACACAGTTCTATTGGTTCTGTTTTGCCCACCCGGATCGGACGAGGCACGGACGTCTGTGGCCATAATGAAATGTTTGATTACTGAAGGTAAAATTTCTCCCGTTTAAGCACGAGATGCACTGAATAGGGATGATGAATGAATTTGTTGGCGTCTTTGCGGGTCAATGTTACACATAGAACGCGTACACTCGTTTGGGTAAAAAAGGATGTTTGTGGACGCCTTTGAAAGATAACGTTAAACATGGGACACATAAACTCGGCCGGGTAAAACCTACAGGTATTCCGATTGACTGATTTATTAGTGATTTTGGGCGTGTCACCGGCTAATTTCAGTAGTCCCGTAATTGTAGTGCACGTTTTTATTTTGTAATATAACTCGCTGGATAGCGAGATCCAGCGCTGACCTCCCGTCGCCAGACGGGGTTTCCCGCTAGCAGGTATCTCCCGCCAGTGGGACACCGCCCCAGCCGGGACAAGCTATAAGCTCCCGACTGGTCTCCGGTCATGTGTGGTAGAGTAGTGCATGTTAGTGTAAGTAAGGGGTAGGGATACGGAAGAGGAAAGAAAGATCGCGCGTGGCCCGTGACCCGTTTGTTAGGGTACTGCTCCGGCATTCGCCTCCCTTCATCGGAGAAACCGATCAGAACAGCCAGCCGCTAGAATTCTCCACCAGACAGCGGTGCGCGCGCGCAGAGTTGCGAAGTGTGCATGCTCACCCCGGCGTCGTCGTCCTTCTGCTGGGCGGCCTGGGCGGCGGCGGGCGACTGGTCGGGCGGCGGCGCGGGGGCGGCGGGC